TCCGTGTGAAATCGGCGGGCGCGAGTCCATTGTGGCCCTTGGGGATGATGAAACAGGCCATATACTTCGGTCGCCTGCACTAGGAAACAAAGAGCCAAATAACACTTTTGTGAACACACATAAAACACAATTCATCAAAGTTCTACACGCTAAGAACACAGAAATGACACAAACCCGTAAACTTTTTACACGTTTGAACACGTGTTATTTTGCTCTTTTTTCCTAGTGCTGCAAACGCGGGCCCTTGACGCCCTTGCGACTTCTTGATCCAGAGCACAGCCTTGAAAGCGGTGACATTTATGGCTTAGGTAAGGTAAAATGGGAGCGCACAGGCCGCAGGGAACTCATCGACCCCTGAGCTGGCTAACGTGTGTAGGTGTCAGCCCAAAGCACGCGGGGGATTTTGGCTGATGCGAGCTCACAGATATGTGAGGCTGGACTGCGACGTTCGCATCACGGAAACAGGGCTTAGTGCTGAGCGAGGGATGTTCCTTACATGGCAGCCTGGCATACGGAATCCATTATAGATTCAAGAGATTCGTCAGTTCCAATTTTGGGGTGGGGTTTCTGTTCAAACTGCAATCTTTCAGGCGATTGGCGTAAGAAACCTTTGTGCCAGGCACTCTGCTTCTCACAAATGGCCATATCCTCATCACTGACACTGCTGGCAATCCCAGGCCCCAACACTAGCCACCAGGGTCGTCTGAAGGGCCCTCGATTGCCCAGCGCTGCATCAGTTTCCCTCCTGCCGAAATTGCTCCTCTCTGTGCCGTGTTAGAAAACCGGCCACTCATTATCGGCGGGGCACGTTCTTGTCCCCACCAGGCCCAGCCAGACATCGTCTCCGTACTTGCCCAGCAATCCGAGGGCGTATCGCCGCCAGCCGCAAGGACGTCTGTACACCTCCCCGTCGCGGTGGAATGTCATGCCGTCGGCGCGCACGTTCGCCAAGTCGGAGTCGAATTCCGGACCCAGGCTGCACTGCGTCAGGTTCACGACTTCATCCTTGCCTGGATGAGGCTCGTAACCGCCGACTTTCAGCCCCGCCACCAAGTGCAGCGCGGACTCCTTTTGCATATTGTAATCTGCCACCGTGCGATCGTCCTCTCCAGTTGCCTTCCAGCAAAGATCAGTCGCTGCTGGTCGACCGGGATGCCCCCACCTTCCCGGATCATGGCTTTACACCTTCTATCGTGCAGTCCGCGGTCACACTCACAGTAATCACATGTCCAGTAACAGTGTTCGCGTGGAGATGCCCACCGTCCCCTCCTTTGAAACGCCTCACTGCCCGACCTTCCCCGGGCTGGTCCCTGACGGCCTAACGAGCGGCTTGCACACAGCTGCGACGGGACCGGCCGGCGCCGTCCATTGTGCGCCTGCGTCCTCATTTAGGACCGCGATTCATTTTTGCCACAAGTGCATCGCCGCAGCTGTCCAGCATTGGAGCGACTCCACCTGCTCGTTGATGTGTGCAGCAACCGCTTCTCGGTCCACAGCTGCTCAACCCTGGCCGAAAGCCTTCCAAAGTTTATGGGAGATACCTCTCGAGGTGCCTCCTGGACAACGACACCTCTGGCTGTGCGCCAGCAATTATGAACGGTAAGCTGCGTCCGGCATGTGGCTTATAAACACACCAGCCGCGTCCCGCATTTCCAGGTGATCGTCGAGCATGCCCTCTGCTGTCACCCCGAAACCATCGGGGACTCCTACCCGCAGTTTTCGCAGGGGCCTCACAGCGATTGCCCCGCAGCGCCTTGCATTCTTCCCAACAGTGCCAACACGCTGCCCGCTCACGGCCAGCGACGACATCTGCGAAGCAACGTTAAAGCGGTCGAGGCCTTCAACCTCAAAATGTCCTTTTGGGTCCCCTGCGGTGTCTATGCCGAACACGTGCCAAAACTGGGCGACACTCATTGGTGAACACAGGTTCCTTGCCGTGCGCTTTGCCATTTCACGCACATTGCCGTGCAATGCACGGTGCCGCGTCGCGCACGGCCTGAGAGTGGCGCCCCGAAAGGTTTGACAGTACGGGAGGTGACTGAGAATATTAGGGGTCACTTCCAGCACTTCGATGCGCCATCCCCGGTGCGGTGCATCAGGCGGAATGCCCCCAGCCAGTTGGAAACCGATTACGCCCTCCGGCAGAAAGAAAGCCGCCAGCGTTCGCGCGCACGCTCGCCATGATCTCCTGCGACCGGCACCTCGTCTCCGCTGGGCTGCCTGCCTCGACAGGCTGTTGCGTGACGCTCTGCGATGATGGCAAAAGCTGCCATACGATCCTGCAGGTGCCAACCTCTCGCAGTGTGAATGCTCGATTGCTGGGGAGTTACTCGTCACCTCGAGGAACAATGGGGGCACATGGCTCGTGGTGCCACCGACCATCCCCTTCACGTCATGTTCGTTGCTGTTAATTAATAATGGATTATTACTGTCAAATGACCCTAACCCTCGAGCAGCGTGTCAATAACATGCTCTGAACTCAGCGTTCGTCGATCGTTGTATGCACAAAAAATTGTGTCCAATTTAAGGTCAGCGCCTACAGAGGACTTGAAATGTTGTGTTTTTTGCAACGTTGCCTGCCTGCCCACTTGCCTCCAATTCTACAGTCGCACCTTACCCTGCTGCCCTCACCAGCAATGCTTCCATTCTACATCCACTACACCAATCTGAAAACGCCATCCAGACCCTCTCTCTATTCTGGGACATAACTAACACATGTTCTAAACAGCCTGCTGCCACAGGAATGGATCTGCTCGACGAGTAGCATGAATCCCCGCCTAACACACCGTGCCCTGAAGTTCCATGCAACGATGGGTCTACTCGATGAAACGAACGATCTCCTGGCCGCTGGCATCACGCTGCACAACGATGACGCCCAGATCGCTGTACTCCTCCAGGCACTGCCTGATGAGCGCACCGGGACCCTGGGCAGAAAAAACAGCCATTTTGCCAGTACTCTCAACAAAGCATTAAGAACAGCGATGCCTGCCAACCTCCAAGGTGATGACGAGTACAATGGCACTGACAACGCCGTCCCAACGGCACTTCCAGAATGTGCGTTCACTACAGAAACAATCGTATGCTGCGCCATATCATGAGGAGCTGGCGTGAAATTGCACTGACACAAGAATATCAAAAAGACAACGCCATTTCAACGCGGATTGCAATTGCACGACAGCGACTTGTTCCATCCATCCTGCTACACTGTTTCAGGTTGCAAAAGAACACGGTCTGGGCCCCACTGTTGTCCAGCCGAACAACGTGCTTTTGCATCCGGCGCCTCACCTCCCTGTCGGTCACCAGCCCCGTGCACAGCTCCCGGATCTTGGCGAAGGGGATGCCGTGCCGCCGCGCCCGTGCGTCCCGCCGCCAGTGGTCGTTCATGCGCCTGTACACGGCAGACACGGGGTCCTGGCGGCCGCGCTGGCCGCGCCGGTCGCTGAGGCTGGACTTGGACATCTTCATCAGGCGCAGGGCCTCGTCGACGTCCGACTGGACAACGGTGGACGCGAACCTGAGCCAGGGCCCAACCCCGCCGATTATTATTCGACTGTGCTTGAAGCACTTGATGCTCCAATAACACTACGCTACAATATTGCTGTCGATATTCTATTTGCTGATCTGTCTATTTGTTTATTTATCAATTCCGCAACTATTACAGCTACTATCACATTTGGTCCTTAGAGCATGCTTCGGTTACACTCGTAATTTGGTGGTACTTGAAAGGCGGCAATCTATGGCCAATCGCCGGGTTAGTGACCGTCTGATGATGATGGGATGCTGAGCATGAATATCTTAGAAAATCTTTAAACTTCTTAGAAACAACACTGCAGTGCGCCAGCCTTGTTTCAGTAAGTAGAAAAAGCGCCGCGCAATGGAGACCGCTCTACAGAGGGGGACTGTTTATGATGGACGAGCCTCAGCGCCAAAGCCCACCTCAGCTTCGCCAGCGCCTGGCTCAGGCGGAGGATGGACATGAGCGTGCGTGGCGTCGTGTATGAGTGCGGCACCTTCGTCTTCTGCTCATCGGACCGAAGCTCCGCATACACGCCCGCGATGTACTCTGTGCCACAGTACGTCATTGATCAAAATGATCGCCCATAATTTCATCAGAATGAACGTTCATAATTCGCTTAATATGAACGTTCGCACCACAAAAAAATGCAAAAAAATGCATCCTTACAGATTTACAACACGCTTGCAGTGGTCAGCTAGTCCAACTGGAGCTAGTCAACTGCTGCAAGTACTTTGTAAGCCTGTAAGATTGCATCGCTTTTTTCATTAGTACGTGTTCTACTACTACTAGTAGAAACTGCTAGTACTGCTACTGCTAGTAGTAGAAATGTACTATTGCGCCTCTGTCAGCTCCTCGACCACGTGGTGTCAATGTTCATCAAACAGTTAACACAAGTCTTCGTAGCCCGCTTGGTATGAATGATCAAATTTCAATAAGCAATAGGAAGAACTGCAACACTGTGCTCATCAGTCGTTCGTCCAGCACAGCCAGGCATGAAGTTCCGCAACAGCCAGCGTCAAAGCCATTTCTTAGGAATCAGTGCCAAGGTGAAACATCACAAAACATTGTATGGCCTTGCGGTTTTCCTCGAGATTTCAGCTGCAGCTATTGTAGACACTCTATGATACTGTCAGTTATGCGCACATTGAAGTATGATATTCGTTGTGCGGCAAGAACTGATAAAGATATAATATTCGTTACACAGAAATAAATAAATGAAGAAACATCGAAATAAATAAATGAAGAAATGAAGAAGTGAAGCAACAACGAATGCGCGTATTTGCACCTGCACGCATTGTCCAAGTATTGAACCATTTGCTTGAAACGGCGCGACGCGAGGGATATGCACATCTCGTACATATCGTACATGTGCGATCCCCACCTGTGAGCTCGTCAGGCACCGTCGGTCTGTACTGCTTTGCGGCCCTGATGTACGCCCTCAGCTGGCGGGGCGTCAGCGGCTCGAAGTCCTCAGGCGCGGGAGGCTCGCCCGTCTTGTGAACTTTCAAAACGTGGTCGGCGAGCGCTGCGTCCTGTCGAAGGCAACGACAGTTCTTGTTTGGTACTTTGATTCCAAAGTACTACATCACACTTCGGCGTCCAGGTGCCTGCCCCGTCCCATCACAGGATAGTGGGCCTTATGCCACCGCGCAAGAGCGTGCAAGGCGACAAAGACAGTTCCAATTCGGCAAGAGAGTGCGAGCGGCCCACAGCGTGGCAGGTTTCATGGCCGGGGGGGGGCGCATGAGGTGAGACACTCTGCGTTGGTGGCTCTCGGGCGCGGTCCCGATGCTGAAATGCGGGCCACAAAGCGTAGTGGAGACTGCATGATTTGTTCTCCTCTCAACGGGAAAGGATGGCTTATTTCACGCAATTTCTGTCCTCGCCCGAAAAGGAAGAATTGTGCACAACCATATAGAATCATGTAAACTATATTTAGGAGTTCAATCTCTTAAGTGCTGGAGAGCGCTACAATCATTAAACAATTCAAATCGTCTAATTTCAGCGGCTGCTCTCTTCCATATTCGTGTGCGGCGCACGGCACATGATCATACACGCCTTCTGAGTAGTTTGGCTCGATGGTGGCACTGAACGATGCATTGTGTGAAATCGCAGCTTGTTGCCACACAGACTCATGAGCAAAACAACGTGTTTCTTAAAACGAAACTTTGGAGAAATTCCAATGCAGGAGAGATGTGATGTGGGCAGGCATGCGAGAGTTCTCCATTTGTGCAAGGGCGCGCCTTGCCTTCAGCTATTAATCATTTGCGACGATCTGTTCCAGCATGCACTAAATAGCATATCCCCCGCTTGGGCTTCGCAATCGCTCAACAGGATGGAGCAACTATGCAGCTTCAAGATGTCTCACCGTGTCTTCCTCTGGCCTGTCAAGTATGAGCCACATCAGGTCGAAACGAGACAGCAGTGCCTGCACAACAGTCCAACCACCCTGAATCAACAATCCATAGCCAGTTGGGAAGAATGCGGACCGCCACGAGGATGGACGCCAAACAACGACGTCGTAGAGTGCAGGAGAGGAAAGCTTGGTGCTGGATTGGAACAATGACAGGCGCCTGGCATGGATGCAGTGTGCTGCTGCCATTGTCAATCGGTAGCGCTCCATGACTGTTCCCCAGTGAGCGGGGACACAAGCCCTTTGGGTACAAACCCCTGTGGATGCCAGTGGCTCGAAACGTTGCATAGTATGCGTGAGGGCGAAAGGACAACTAACACGTGACTGCATGATGTGTGGTGATTTTCCGCGAAGTGTGGTTATGGTGAACAAAGCTTTGCACTATGGTGAAATGTATATGGTGGCAATGGAGACGGAAAATGAACATTCTTTCAGTGACTGTTACTTAGCTGGTACGTTCATCCTGTAAAGCATATGGTTACGGCCTTGCTTCCCATGCCTGGTTGGGACTGTGCGCGAGCGCTTGGTGAACGTGTTCGGTTCCGTTCTTTGTATGTACAAGGACGGTGGCTCGTTGGGCTTTTGACATAAGGGCTCAGCAAGGATTTATACAGTTGGCTGCAAAGGTAGCAGCATCGGAAAAGAGAGTCCAGTGTTCTTGCCCAGGACGGCGCTCCAACGCTGGACAAGCTTATGTTGTATTGAAAACACATCGGGCACGCAACAATATTAGACAATATTCTACGCTGCTAAGTGCGAGCTACATAGCAATCAAATATTGAATAATGTTGAAACTGAGCTCGGCAGAACTGGCACAGGCTGCATGGCAGCATTTTATTGGAGAGCCATCTGGGGTCGAGCTCCCGATACTATATTGAAATGAGAATTCAATTATAGGCAGAATCATGCATACAAAGTCAATATATGTGGAGTATAGTGAACGCTAACCATCCAATGTACACAACTGATGACAAATTCTGTGGCAGTAACGTCATTTCTGCGAGAATCGGGCAGCACCGAACTCACCGCCGGAAGGGCAATGTTCTCTGTGGGCGACCGCCTGGGGTCGTATCTCCCCATTGCAGGGTTGGCCGCAGCCAGCACAGTCGTGCGGGCGTTCAGGGTGGTGGTCACCCCCGCTTTTGCGATGCTCACAGTCTGCTGTTCCATCACCTGCATGGGACACATCTAGAAGATTCAAAGCACAGCATGCGGATCTGAAACGATACCAAACGTATGGACATTCACTTGTGGAGATGCGTGGTTGTCCCAGTAGAGCAGCACCACGTGCAGCAGTGCACTCGCTGACTGTAGTCAACAGCATGCGATGCTACAGAAAACGTTGCTGGGCTGCTAGCAGAACTGCTTGTTCACTGAACATCTAATGCTGGCCTAACCCCTTTACCTGTGCACATCGTACTTGCTCCCTTATTGTACATATAAAAATGGATTCTGCTTTCAAATCATAATAACCAACCCCTTGCTCCTGCAAGTTCCAGCACGTTCTGTCTAATTCAATCTGATTCAATACAACTGGCACTTTAATTCAATTCATCAATTTATGGAAAACACGCTCACTATCACAGTGTTTCTTGCAGAACATGGCTACTTTTTCCTGCCAAAATGCATTCCTGCAAGACTTCTATTTTGGAACCCCTGCCACCAGGCATGCCCCTGAGACGTCCCCTCCCCAGCACCTCGTGTATTGCCGTCCTGTCTCCCTCATCCATCTTGTCGAACTCGTCGATGCAGCATATACCCTTGTCAGCCAGCACCAGGGCGCCTCCCTCCAGGATGAAGTCGTTGGTCACAGGGTCGCGGACCACTGCAGCCGTGAGACCCACACCTGCAGGTAAAAGACCCAAACACAAAGGTGCTCAGTCCTTGGTCAACAACATGGTTTCGAATTCTTGATTCTCTTGTTTTCAATGCTCAGGATCACACTGCTGCGCATGGCAGTGACATGCAGGAGGATCTGTTTCAAAGCAAAGCTGGACTCTGTCGGCTCTTTCTCTCCTGCAGCTGCCCAATATGTCCAAGGGCACTGGCTTGTACTCCAGAAAAAAAAGGCGAGCACGATTTCCTGCTTCTCTCCTCCTCCTGCAAAATTTGGTTCCGGCCATTGCCATGAACCTGTCCACTCCATGTGAGGGCTGACAGTCAGACGATGTGACTGGCGGGCGGCAGCATCCCAGCGCCCATCTAGTGAGCACCCCAAACTACCTTGTTCATGAGAAGGAACTTCAACGTAAGGAGACGCGTGAGCAATTCAATGTCAGCTTACCTGAAGAGCCTTTTCCAGTGGAATATACTGCACGGGGAGATATGTTGACGATGTGTTTCAGCAGCTGACTCTTGGCCACTCCGGGATCCCCCATGAGGCACATGTGGATGTCACCACGCAGCTTCATGCCATCCCCCAGCTCATTGGTGACACCGCCCACCATGAGCAGGAGCAGCGCCTGCAAAGGCGTCAAACAGGGGAGTTGATTTTTTCTCCATGTGTGCGATGTCACTGGAAAATGCACCCAATTATCTTGAAGAATACATGGGTGGCAAGTGCATGTGTAAAGTGTGTGCCTGAAAAGGGGAAATGGAAAGCAACACTAACAGTTGTGAGACATGCCACACTTGGGACGTGTTTGGGATTTGTTGCTTGGCAATATCTCCAGCAGCCTGCTCCCTGCACCTAAGGAGGGCTTGCACTCACAAGATGTCTATGAAATGCACTGTCTTAGGTGTGTTGACCTACCACTTGAAAACTTGCTGATACAATTTAAATTTATTACCAATTGTTGGTTCTAATTGCTAAATTTAATTTCAATGGTGCTGATGCTTGGTGCATCTGGAGAGTGCCCTGCTTTTGGTACGGACAACACTGGAACAAACAGTACTGCAGATATGAGGATGAAGTAGAAGATATGCAAAACGCAAAACAATGGCACCCCTTGGCATGGTGGCCACTTTTGCAAAGCAAAGGTGGGATCTTCAGCAGCTAATGTCTCAGTCCTATACAGGTGCATCTGAACAATACCCAGCCGCATCCGAGAATGGGACCAGTGCCATCACAGCGAAATACCACTCGGTTGTTGCAGTCAGTGGGAGCTGCCCACGCCTTACCTTTTTGACGTCTTCATGACCAAATATTTCAGGGGCGATGCTCTGGGAGAGCCTGTTGTACACGTTACCCTCCGCTCGGAGTTGCTGTAGGATGCAAAAAGAACAGTCTTGAGTTAAATGCTCACCAGCAAATGGCCTGTTCTTGTGCCAAACAGGGACCAAGCACTTTGGGCATCAGGCCTTTCTTTGCTTGCTTCTGCCTGGGTTCACACTTTTCAAGTAGAGACAATTGATTGTAGTATTCACGCACTTCCACGCACACTTGAACGATTCATGTACACATGGTTGAAATAGCTTGGCAAACATATGCATGACATCGAATTGGGAACGAGTGACAAAACTGGAAGTATTGGTGGTTGAGTGCTTCCCCCTCTCAGCAATATCATGCACATATACCCTGTACAATTGCCTTGATATGGTGATGCGATGCAAATATGCCTACAGTACAATGGCAATTTTGTGCCATCACAGATACATTTATGGATGCTGAGACAACATGTACAGGCCAAACATGATACATGCTAGATGCAATGCGTGCATTTGCACTGCCTTGCCCGGAATGAATGTGTGACTCACCTGTATCATCTCTTGGTCGTCGTCAGACACCGCCACCTTAGTGTAGCTGACCTTGTCCACTTTTATTTCCATTGCCTCGATGAAGGTTGACGTCACAAGACCAGCCCTGTGGAAACGCACAGAGATTTTCGCAGTGATTCAGACTCTGAACTCTTCAAGCATAGGCATTCTGCTGTCAATTCAAACCTGCCCCTTTGATTCGGTGATTTGCTCAAGCTGCGGAGAGCATGTCCCCAAAGGGCACAACATGGTTGCCCATGGACTATGTGGCTTGAACATTGCATTTTCAATCCACAGGTAAGAGTTTCATTTTCCATATCTTTGGCACACCTCAGCATGATTGCTGTCTTTTCTCTGCTTGAATTTCTATGTGGCAAGATTTGAAATGATGCAGAAGAGATTAGACGCCAAGGAACAGAAACCACAAGTTGGTAACAGTGCGGAGCCCAAGTTCTTTGTTACACACCAGTGCATTTTCAATCTGGTGGGTGTTGTTCTCTCCCAAGGGCCATTGGTGTTTTCCTGGATCGTGGGGATTTGGGTGCTTTCATAAGTTGCTTGGATGCACACACCTAAACAAATTATTGCCTTGTTTGACATGTTGATGTTGCCCTGATGTCCCAAACATGTGACATGACATGTGGCATTATGAAGGTCAATGCTAATACAATTTGTGAGATTTGATGAAATGCATTCTGCTCCGTGCAGAATGCACTGAATTGTAGTTCACCTTGCTTTGCATCTTCCTTGCACTCCAATGTCATGCTTTTTTGCTGGCTATTGTACCCAAGATGCATATGTAGGTTTACATTCATCAGCGTGGGCAAATTGTACCATGTTGCTGGGGGGCTGCATGTGCATCCACTGCAAATTGTCCCACAACACAGTATCAGCTACACAACCTCAGTACAGGCAGGAATGCACCTGAGGGCCCTGAAGCCGGTGTAGGGTTGAGGGCATAGCACTCCAGATATAACCACTTGGTCGCCTGGTTTCACCAACCGGGTGAGGTCCCCAGTGCAGTGGACTGTCAGGGCACGAGGTGTGGAGCCCTCTGGAACCTGCAAGGGAATATAAACTTGTCAATGGCTGTCTCCATCCACAGTTGCAACAGAATCACAGGTAAGAAAACTGGTGGCAGCCCTCTGCCACGGGTGCACAAACAAGACCCAACAGAATCCAAACAGGAGAGATCTGGACACAGAAAGAGGCCCCCAGATGCACCTACAACTCAGTGAATGCACCAACAGCTGCATACACCTGTCCAGAGGACTGCAGGCGGTGTCTGCGATTGAAAGCACACACACAGCAGCCAGCATTTGACAACAGCTTGTTGCTGATTGGCGACACACAATTAACGCAGTTTCAATAGTTCCAATAGCCCCAAAGCATCACAGAACTGGCCACTATTCAGTTTACTGAAAAGATCTGGGATGCATGCAGGTGGAAGCAATTGCCCACACCATCTTCCACCGTCCGCCCAACATGCGAATGCACAAACAGCACACTGAATGTAGCAAATTACACGGAGCACTGACTTCATAGGAATACAGAGAGTCCGATGTGGTCAGCACAAAGGTTGGGAAGAATACCTCCTCTGCCATCTCCTGAACTTTGAGCTCCTGAAATTTGACAAATTTGGAACTGAGGGGCTCCAACTGCAGGCAGGAAGGCCTGGAGGGCTGGGAGGGCGACTGGGGCGCCGTCTGGAGGGGCATGAAGGACCGACCCGTGACCTCCTGGTACACCTGCTGACCGCTCTCATTGTCCACATAGGTGGCGATGCGAATCAGGGGCTTCACATCCGTCATGTACGTCACGATGCCCTGAGCGATCGTCAAAGGCAATGTTTAAAGTGCGAAGGAACCATGTCGTGTAATGGGCGGGTACGCATTGGGCAATAGGTTAGGAAATCGGGCGTTGTTTGGCATGACAACCCAAACTAGGGGCTGGCAGAAAGGGTTCCAAATCCATTTATCATATGCTTCTCACAGCATAACAAAGGAAGCCCTTTTGACAAGCTGGATGAACGCAAGCACAACGCGATGGGCAAGAAGAATATTTGTGTCTGTCAATGCAAAGGGGACACATGCCTTGAAAGCGACGAGGCTGCCAACGTGTGCAGAGGACACCGCCCTCAGGTTCACCAGTGGGGCTGTGCCACGCATCTTCAGGCAAACATCGAATCTGCGCAGCAGGGCGGGGGGTAGCTCATTGATCGGGACACCGGGCATGTCGGCCTGCAGCACAAAGCCATCCTGAGCTCCATCTGATGGCATTGGCCTCCCAGGGCAGTGACAGATTGCATGCTTATAAGCTGAGACTTACAGGCTTATTGACAGACAATTGCTGTTCCACTTTAAATGGTGCCATTCGTAACCACACCCTTTACTGCTGACGGCTTTCGTATCTGTCATCGACCAAACTGCGATTGTGCTGCTAGTGTACCACAAAGAAGGACGGACCAGAACTCTCTCTCTCTCTCTCTCTCTCTCTCTCTCTCTCTCTACTCTCTCTCTCTCTCTCTCTATATATATATATATATATATATATATATATATATATATATATATATATATAGGATGATAAGGGCAAAAATTCAAGCCAGGACAGAAGCCCTAACTTGCAAAAGCATGCTCCATGGCAGTGCCTTGATCATGGATCTTCATTGCATATGCTGGTGCCCTCTTTGGGAAAGGCAAATGGCCCCACAATCTTCCCTGCAATGTGGCCTTGGTCTTTATGACGGTGAGTCCCACTGAGTAGTACGATCTGGCCAGCATGGATCTGGCCAAATCATGTTGTGCAGCTGTTACTGAAGCCATTATGGACAGTTCCATGGACAGTTTGACGTGTGACTAGTTGTGAGAACTGCTTCCCACCTTGGCAAAGAGCTCTGCCTCTCTGTCAACATATTGCGCTGTTAGTTTCTCAGATGAGCAACAATTCTGCAGGTAACCTCCACAATGACAGGTTACCCTCTTCATTGTGATGCGCTGGTTCAATGCAACACGTTGAATCTGCTGTGTGTTCCTTTTGGCAGCATGCCACAGCAAGTCACGTAAGTCCATGGAATTTGGGCCACACTGTGGCTGTGTCGGCAACTGTGACTCACTGTCAAGTGGATCCCAGTGTTGGCGGCACTTGCCACAATCAGGGATAGCTTCAAGATTCTGCAAGCTGCACATAATTATGCAATGAAACATGTGACAGATTCTTCTGCCAAAGAATAAAGACCGACCATATTTGAGTGCTTGTGCTCATGCACTCTATTCAGCAGCAGTAGGTCACTCTCATAAGACGACCATGGTCCCATTCAATCATCGGCTTATGCTTGGCAAACCTATTTGGAAATTCTAGAGCACTGAACAGATGCACAACACAACCTTGTCTATGCACTCGATATGAACCAATTAATAATGACACCCACTCACCCGCATGGCTTGCCCTTGGTTTGGGTCCTCAGCGGGCAGCTGACCCGACATCATGAGCTGGTCCAGCCTCTCTTTCTGTTGGTACTGGTTCACCTCATCTGCGATGACATCGAAGATGTCTTCTGCAATATCACTCCTTGTGGGTGCAGGCATCGCAGAATCGGCTGCCTCACAGAACAGCTTCACATACCGCCTTGAATTGTGTTCCACGGACTTCGAGAATTCAGGGTCTGATTCCGCAAAGAACTGCAGGAGACCACACCAAAAAGCAGGTTGGGGGCATGGAGGGTCTGGCTACTCACAGCTGTGGAATTCCAGGGAACAATTGGCAGCATCCCAAAGTTTGGGAGCACGCTGCCATTTACTGCAAATCAAAATGCCCCAAACTCAATCAAGGGAAACAAGAATTCGCCTGCACAATTGATGCCAGAAACTGCTGCCATACGCTCTGCTACAACAGCGGAATTACTGACATTGAACAAACGAGTGTTCATACTCTGTATGAGCACGATGTGCCTTGAGGTTCATGATATAAGTGTCCATGACTGTCAACATTCATCAAGGAAAGAAGTCCTGTGCTGTGCCCCTGGTGCACTTGTTTGGTCGTTTGGGGTAAAACTCTCCAAAATTTGCTACAGGTTTTGCCCCAAGTGTATGTTTTCTTGCTATTCATGCCAAAACTTGCTGCTCCTGCTGCAGTCAGCGATTTCCACACTGGTTTCTGCACTATGGCACAGGATGTCAAGGCAAATTTTGAACATTAGAAAAGGTCCATTTGCATTCTGTTCTTCCTTTTGAAAAGCACACAATCTCTGGAGGGTCAGGGAGGGGAAGAGAAACAATAACAAGGTAGCTGCCACCAGCCGAAGGGCAGCACTGTGATGTAATGCACATGGCATGAAATTGTGGAGACAGAGGTCTGGTGGGGGTGGTAACCCCATCGATCACATCGCGAATCCAGCCAACACAGAGAACTGGCATCCTTCAGTCGATGTCTGGCATGTTGAGCAGAGGCACAACACTGTGGATAGGTGGATCCTGTTTGGTCTCAAGAGCATTCGTCTTTTGACAAGGCCTTTCTGGGCTTTTACATATTTTTTGGGAGCAACTTCGGCCCAGGTGTAGCTCACCTCATGGAGGTCGTCAAGGTAGATGTCCAATGTTTTCTGCTCCCGATTGGCAATGTTTTGCTGCATGACACAGGCATTGCCAGGGATAGATCAGCATAGCACTTCAAATCGCGATCGTTACTTGCTGTAGCTCTACAAAGAATGCCCCAAAGTGAAACTGCCTTTATTGGCAAATCAGTGCCCTTGCACCATGAGGGCAATGATGCACAACCATACAAGGCCAGAGATACTTCAGTTGGAAAGAATTGTGGGGGACAGGTTGTTCACAACCTGTAACGTGTTGTCTTGAAGCACGTGGGCAGCGTTTGGCTATTCTAATTAACCTGCGATTTGTACTACTTCATCCGGGCATTTTATTGTCATGTTGCCATTGGTTGTAATGTTTCACACGAGGGAGCATGGACCAGAGAAGCCCGAGGCACTAAGCTGCAAGCTTGATAACGGTGGGCAGGAACAGCAGTGCTCAGCATCGCCAAAGATCACCCTTTCCCTTCCAGTTGCCCAGAGGGATGCACACATGGGCGTATGTGTGGACAAATCTGGCCCTTTTCAGGCAACAAGTTCCTGGCTCCGAAACCATATCAGGATCAACGAACCCCTTGGACATGCTCGCGCACGGTTGCTCCCAAGCACGGGAAGCAAGGTCATAACCAGACTCGTTGCAAGACAAGCATGTCAACCAAATAGTGTTCAAGGGAAATGTTCCCAGTTAGCGATCACCGTTTCCATATTCACCGTGTTTTTGTCACCGTGTTTACTGCGTCCAATCACCGCCTATTTCACATCAATCCCCCTATAATTACTTGCCATAATTTCCTTGCCCTCACAGACACATTTGGCGTTATGCCGACTATGGATAGGTGTTCATCTTCCTGGTTTGCGGTGGAGCAACAACAACACATCGGCACCTTCAAGGCTCTTGGATGGTTCAAATGGTAAAGGGCCGCAAGGAAGCCAAGGTCAGATTTACTTGGCAACCAGCAGCATTCTTCTTGCCCCTGTTTGCATATGGTGCGAAGGGCAGGGATGCCGGCCCAGACAATCATCTGCATCACCCAAACACGCTAAGATCTACGATTGCAGCCGCCGGCGCTCCTCATGTGATGTTTCTGAACGGTGAGGTCTCACAAACGGCGTCTTTGGCCAGCATCAGGAGCAACTGGCATCCCGAATGTCATGGTCTAGGACTGAGCGGCGTCCCTGATCAAACAGCCACACAGGTGCGTACGGCAGTCCAGAGTGTGGGGAGCGCACCAGGGCGGCTTGGTACTTGCGTTCTGTCGCTCCTCCTGCGCCAGCCGCCTTGAATCCCTCAAGGAACTCCCTGCACTTCTCTGCGTGGCCCGGACACCACAAACAACGGTCAGGCGGAGGACGGCAGGCAAGGGCGTTGGGCACCCGGGAGGGGGGCTAGGCTGCTTAGAAAAGCGAGGGGGAATTCGGGACCGGGCAGACGAGGCACACATCCGGCGGGGAAGAAGAGGCGAGAGAACAAATCCCAAAATCCGATCTTGGTCGGTTGCCTGGCGGAGGCGCGGCGCATCGACGTCAGGAAATTGATGGAAAAGAAGAAAAGAGCCAAAGAGAAAGCGCTGGGAACTGGAAGGCGTCGGATGCCCTAGGAGGGATGCGCCGGGCACCCGCCCCGGCGATGTCATCGGCACTGCGGAAAATCCCATGGCTCCGAGTAGTCGCCCGCGCCATCGCCTCCCAAACCCCGCACGCGGTCGCCCATCCCTCCCAGGCCACCGCCTCCCGACGCTGCCGGCGACCGATCGGCCTCCGGGTTGAGAGCGCCGCATCCGACGGCCCCATCCGGCGACATCCACTCAGTGAACCGCACCCCGCTCGGCGTCAACGTCGGGCAGGAGCTGCGTCATGGCCGCGCCGAGCCGAGCCGGGCGTTCGGCCGGTAGGAATCAGGGATCGGGGGAAGGGAAGCAGTCGGGGAGAGCAACTTGGGTGCGGTCGAACTGGAGGGGACCCAGAGGAGCCGGGGTTGTGAAGGGGCTGTGGGAGGGGGGAGCTTTTGGCGGGCTTTGGGCGCCACTGGCGGAGTGTCGGGCATGGGAGGGGAAAGTATCTGGCAGCGATAAATTAACCCAATCACCAAAATTTGGCGGAATCTCGTCACCATCGCCACGGAGGTAGGTCCCGGCGCGGTCCAGGCGGGTGGAACCAGTGATGTCAGCATGAGCGAAGGGCAATGATGCAGGGCGTTAATTGAGTCAATGGCATCAACGTGTGGCCCTCGTGCTCAAGGGGATGGGCTCCAAGAAACACTCCGCTGCCCTGTTGATCCGTTGCCGCACACTCAGGCCTACAGGGCCCCCCGCGGGGTTGACACCCTCCACCCTGCCGTCCTTCTTCAGCGGTTGTAGACGTTTGTATACAGATGTGCTTGGGCTGCATGAGTAGTGGAGATGCGCGAACGTGGAGCATCGCCTTGCCTAACGTTGCGGGTACTACATTCTGGGCGGCCGCCGCGGCTGTTCGCCACGAATGTTCAGCATTCGGGACCCTTGATAAGGGGTCTGGTACAAAGTTGACTCCAGCAGATTCAGGCAGTTTGTCCTTGATGTTTTCTTCAACAGACCCTCCGTGCCGTTCAGCTCCCCTCCTTTGGGCACCAAGTCGACCAAACGGTGCAACGCGCACGTCGTCGCTTCCACCGGGCCACTTGCTCAATTAGAGAACCATTTCTTCCTCCCTACAAGTCGTGTCCATTGTGCACCACGGCAGTCACCACCGCATAGGCCATGACACTCGCATGTCCCTCCAACAGGCAAGCCGTAGCCGCCATATTGGGTTATTTTGTGTGTGGATAGGCATCCGTTGGCTCAGCGTTGTTCAACGAAGGCACTGGAGGGCGCAAGCTTGCGTTATCCAAGAAAGAATGTGTGCAGAAGCAAGCCGCAGATCGAGACAGATTGTGGATGGCAATGGCGTTGTTTGAGGTGGTCATGTGGTCGCATGGGCTGGCCCTGCAGTACGACATCGCGACTTCAACCCTTTTTTCGCCTCGTACCCCTTGTGGGAATGGTGTTGCAATTCTGTGGCAACCAGTTGTCGCCCACATAACGAAGGGTGTGCCCCGTGATCAGCGCAAGGCGCCTTGACGCCTGTTCGTTGCACCCCCATATCCAATCCCCCCCTTTCCGCTCAGCTCCAGACAAGCGAATAGAGGGTAAGATGAGTTCGCAACATTTGTTTGTCACATTTGGTACATCAGTACGTACATTGCTTGAGGAAAAAGATGGAGATGCGGCAGGGGCCGCCCTGGCGGCCGCCAGGCATGCGTTTTCTAGAGTGCAGCCAACACACAACCGGAGGAGCCGGTCGATGAGATAACGCCCTGTCTACAGTCCCCAAAGAGCGCCATCTGGCCCCCCTTCACCGGGGCCACCCCATTTCGCTCCCGTTCGCCCTACGGGGAACGGAAAGGGGCACGGCGCCCCCACCCCGCCAAAACTTGCCGTCAGAACCCGCCCTCGCGCCAATGCCAGCTACACGCCGCCAAGCCGCCCTGGGGCAGAAAAAACAGACATCGCCGAGTCCCTTGGGGCCCAAGAGCTTCACATCCCGCAAGGAGAACACCCTGGACCACGCTGCACACAGGCACAAGTGCAAGACGCGGATCGGGGCGGTGCAAAAGCGCCGGCACCTCAGACGACCGTGTAGCCGCAGGGGCAGGCCTGGTAGCAGTCGACTGACACGTAGGCCTCCTTCGCCAGGCACTCGTTTTCGTAGGTGTTGCCGTCGTCGCCACACACCGGGTTGTAGTCGTAGCCGCAGCCGGCGCATGGGCACTTGCCGGGGCACTCCACCTCCACGCCCGCGCACTGGGCCTCGCACTCGTTGTTGTAGGAGTTGCCGTCCACGCCGCAGACCTGCGGTTTCGAACAGATCTGGTGTCACCACAAAACCACAGAAAACGGCATTTCGACGATCCTAGTTGTGGCGCCATTTGACACTAATTGATCCCGTCACAGCTTTTTTTACTGCCATCGCAGCCACTGTGCTGCCGTCTCTTAGCGTCAAACAAAATGGCATTGCAGATGGCAGCACAAAATGGTGTTTGCTGCAGGTGTGTGTGGGATCATTGGCCGACATCGCCAGTTTATGGTGCAAGGGCTTCTGCTTTGTCTTTTGGCGAATGTAACTACAAAGGATTCGCACCTCGGCGTAGTCCTCGTCGCAGACACATTTGTAACAGGGGCAGGGCGTGTCGCACTCCTTCTTCACGCCGTAGCACTTGGCGGTGCAGCAGTTGTCGTACGTCTTGCCGTCCACGCCGCACACCTGGGTGACGGGATTTGGCGGTCAGTGGGCACAAGTCAGTTAGGGTGAGAAAGGAACGGGGTTGGGCGGGGCGCATTACTCCTGGGCGGAGCCATGGGATGCAATCAGCCGAGGAGGGAGGGAAGGAAGACCGATTGTGGGTCACGGTCTGCCAGCGAATTCATCAGCTAGAGGTACCGGTACGATAGGCTGGGAAAAGTCGAGGGATCGCGCAACACTAGAGAAGCGCGACATCCCTTTTTGCCGCCGAAAAGAAAGAAAAAGAGAGTTGGGAATGATATGGATGATGACTGGAGTGGGAAGGCCGCCTCCGCTGCGTTCCTCGTTCCCGTCCTCGGGCTCACCAATTCCTACCGTAATATATACAACCCTTCCGCATAGTAACGTAGTGCTTGGCCTTTTTCTGGCGGAGAAAATAAATCAGGTTCTTTTACCATTTTTTTGCGGAGAAACGTAAAAAGAATAAAAAACGCTCGGAAAAAACTGTGGGCAAAAAGCGTAACGGTAGAATTGTTTCAAAGGGGAATGGTTGAGTATACCACGGTACCCTCCCCCCGCCCCTCCCAAGACACTTGCAAACCGCATGGTGACTGAATCGACGCCACCCGTTCACCCTGGATTGTGCATTAATTCACGCATTGATGGATTGCATGTGTCCGCGACGACGACGCAGAGCCCAACTTTGCCGTAACACGTCGTGGGACAGTCTGCATCAAGGGGACAATCTCTGCGCCGTTAAAAATGGTGACCAAGAAAAACGTGGGAAAAGGGTAGACGCTGATGCAATATTGCGTGTAAAGTATCGTTGATGCAACGCCAAGCATTGGTGCAGCAAGGCCAGTGCATCCGCACTAGCGCAACTTTTGCACACATGTCAGCGCTTGTCAATATTTGACATTTGGGCAATTGCCAACGCGTTGCTCGGAATCGCAGCCACAATGTCGCATCAACAGCTACCGTTCTTTCAGATACTGCTGTTTTTAAACCCTTCCGCAAAGAAACACAACGCTAGGTCCTTTTTGCGGCGAAAAAGCGTAGTGGCAAAACTCTTTGATGCAGATGGGTTGAATATCCTACAGTAAAAGGCAGCAAGAGCTCCCACCTGCTGGTCGTCGTAGTCGCAGTCGCACTTGGGCGGGCAGGGGCACTTCCCTTCGCACTGCACCTCCACCTCAGCGCAGTCCGCCTCGCACTTGTTGGCGTACGTCTCGTTATCAACGCCGCACACGGGCTTGTACAGCGCCACGCAAATGCAGGGCTTCACGCAGGGGCACTCCCCCTCGCACGCCACCTCCACCTCCGCGCAGTCCGCCCAGCACTGGCTGTCGTATGTCCGGTTATCGACGCCACACACAGGTGCGTCGTAGGTCGTGGGCTCGCACGTGCACGGACACGGGCACTTCCCATCGCAGTCCTTTTCGACGTACTCGCAGGTGGCCTCGCATTCGTTCGCGTAAGTCTTGCCATCCTTTCCGCAGATCTGGGAGTAGTCCGTGTCCGGGCAGCCGTCCGCGCAGGTGCACGGACACTCGTGGTGGCAGTCGATCTCCACGCCGGCGCAGTCGGCCTCGCAGGTGCTGGGATAGTCGGCGCCGTCCACGCCGCAGACGGGGGAGTCGTACTTCTCGTCGCACGTGCACTTGTAGCAGGGGCATGGCGCGTCGCACTCCTTCTCCACGCCGTAGCACTTGGCGGTGCAGCAGTTGTCGTACGTCTTGCCGTCCACACCGCACACCTGGGCGACGGCATCGGGCGGCCTCAGCGGTTGCTGCCGACGCCTTTGCCGAAATCGCGCTGTCGATTGGGTGGCTTGCACTTGTCTGGCTCTGGGATTCAGGTCACACAGCCAATGCTACCAGAGGCTGCGGCCTTAGGAACAGGCCCACAGTCGCTTTTCGCTGGCTACAACGGACAACAGGTGACGCTGTGGCACTCTCCACTTCAGAAGACAACATCAAGCTGCTGCTAGCAAGTGACAAAATTATGCATATCAAACGAGGAAGCATATGATCAGATGATTCATTGTACCAGCAATGTGGTTAAACGATACCGACTGATTAAAGGACGCTTGCATGTATGCTCCAAGGGGTCGCGCCACGCCTGAAGAATGTTGTGAACCTCCCTTATTGAAGTTGGTCCAGGGAAGTTCGCGAAGAGGAAGGGAGCATCGAAAGCAACACTCCAATCAATTGCAGGCGGCGCAGCGGAGATATGCAAGGAGCCGCTGCAGGTCTGACGGCTCCTCAGAATAATTTTGTTCCACACAGTCGAACACGACAATTGCGCGTGAGACTAGAAAGTTGCCGACTCTACCAGATCCAATAGACTTCTGGCTGTACACAGTGCTGTGCAAGCGTTGATCTGCGCAAAAGAAGCCTGAGTTTATTTTGCAACGCGTATCGCGCTGTCGACAGGGCATTGTCGTTCAACAAGACTGCGAAAGGCGCGCAAGCAAACGCCGGCAAGGCCTCACCTGCTGGTCGTCGTAGTCGCAGTCGCACTTGGGCGGGCAGGGGCACTTGCCCTCGCAGTCCACCACCGCGTACGCGCAGTCGGCCAGGCACTGGTTCTCGTAGGT